CCTTAAAAAACTATCAAGAACAGTCTCGCCAGATATGTCAGAAATGTCTTCAGATAATAATCCGCAGAAAAACTTTTTAAGCACAAAAAGTGGCCTTGGTAATGATCACAATACACAAGATAATGGCCTTCATAATCACAATGCACAAGATTACAACACACAAGATAATTTCATAAAGAAAAAAATAGTGCAGTGACTATTGTAAAAGTACATGTACACAAAAAAAATTTCTTAGAATAGAGTGATGATTAGAATTGGCTGCTTATAAACATTGCTACTATTATTACATTGCTATATTTTACATTATTTTTAAAAGGGCTGTAAGTAAAATTACAAAAAGGTTTCTTTCAAAATCCAAAAAGGCTACTCTACCAGAAGAGGTAGGACACACATATAATGGAAGATGGTGATTCTTGGCCATTTTGCATCATGTGATACCAAAAAAATGCAACTGTATGAAAATTGCAATTATTGGTCAAAGGTCAAACAATATCCTACCTCCCCTGCTACTGTACAGTATAGCAAGACAAGCTCAAAACACAAACCACACCCAATATAACACCCAATAATTGTAATGGAGGAATACCAGGAATACCAGAGTATTCCTCCATTACAAATTATTGGGTGTTATTATAGTAAAGTCAATTTTGGAGCAATTTTTAAAATTCGTAAAAAATCCAATTGTGATTGGAACCAGCTAAAACTCTCTATGCAACATAAGTACACACATGTATATGTATCAGAAAAATGTAAAATGGAGAATTTTCTCCTAGTCATTTTTGGCAAAATTTGGTCAAGTCCCTGTATTTTGGCCCAATTTAACTTTTAAAATCTGTAAAAATCCAATTTTGATCAGAATCAACTCAAATTTTCTATGCAACATAAGTACATGTACATGTATCAGAAAAATTATAAAAATGGCAAATTCTCTCCTAGTCATTTTTGACAAATTTTGATTGGAATCAGCCCAAACTTTCTACGCAACATAAAAACATGTATATGTATCAGAAAAAAATTTTAAAAGGAGAATTCTCTTCTTGCAGTTTTTGATATACAAATCATGTAGTCCAAAATTTCCCATTTACCCGGTAGCCACACCCTCAACATCAACTCTTACAGTTGTAGCTCGGAAGTGAATGACTCCAATGGTGATAGTGTCCCACTGGTCAGTATAACTGATCTCACTCCTTGTCTCACTAACTCAGTCATAGCATAGCCAGGATTAAAACACCAATAACATAACCTACGACCTAAAGGAAGGAGAGTATGAAATAATACATTATATAGCTACAAATTTTTGCATGTAAATTTGAAATTTTTGAGAAAACACTTGTAATCAGTAAAACTTAAAAGGTCATTTTGATGTAAAATCTTGAGCTACAAAAATTACTAGCTATAATTACATGTACATGTACATGTATGATTAACGTAGATTGGGAAATTTTTGTTAAAATATTTTCGCGGTTGAAGTGACCCGCGAAATTTTAACACACAAAATATTTTCTACAATGAATATTAAGAATACCGGAATTATTCTAACATGCAGCGGTGCAAGCACAAGGCTCTTCTAAAAGCCTGATGAAGGCCTGAAGCTCTCACCTAAGAGGTCAGTTTCAGTGCTCTCACGAGCTGTCCATAGTCATCAAGAGTTAGTAGCCACGTGTCCAGTTTATGACGCATCTAAAATTTTTCAAGTTAAAAAAAATTCGCGGATGGGTCAACCAGCGAAAATAAAACACCTTGAAAAAATTTCACGCCAATTATTTTTAACATGAAATTTCCTGATCTACGGTACTACCATAAATTTTAGAAACCTGGGAGTCGATTTCATATTTTAGACTTTAATCTGTACAAAGGCATGTGTATTTGAAGATCTCCTATATTCCTTAATGCATGTAGCCCCCCAAGTTTTTAGCTGATACCGTATAGCTGGTTTATTTTGTGGCCTCAAGTTTTTGTTGCTTAAATTTTCATTAGAATTAATTTTAGTGCCTTGCTAAATTTTTGTTAATATTTAATTAGTTTTAATAAAATTTAGTGGAATTAATTTTAGTGGATTTGAGCCTGCACAAAAATTAATTCCACACGAAATAAACCAGCTATACGGTATACAGTATTTATTTGACTTACATGTGTCATCAGTATTATTATCAGTAGTCCATACATCACTTTTCCTTTTCTTCCTATTATTGTCTGATTTTATATAAACTCTGTAATGAAGTGAAGCCATTCTCTCCCTGGTCATACCAACTGGACAAGACCCACTAAAAACAATCTTTAAAAAAATAACAAAGTACATTTGCAATTAATCACTTATACTTTTATAGCCTCTAAAAATTTCTGTAAATAAGTGCTGGTTCTGTGGAGCGACTGGTCACTGGTAAGTGACGCTATTGCCTGTGAACACTGGTCAATGAGGACAACATGGGTTTCAGTATTGATCCCAGCTTTACCCAGGAACTCAAAAATATAACTGAGGGAACAGCAATAACAAAAAAATATTATTATTATTATTAATTTCATAATTACCTTCCTGGTTTTACGCATTCATTATTTTCTGATTTTAATTCAATTTTATCCAAAGAGTCCTCGATGCATAAAAACAGCTCTAGAAAATTAGTATAAATATAAATTTATTTTTCACACGTCACCTTTCAAATTAGCAAGATCTTTTAGCGTGTTCTGAGTCTGTGTATCAAGCTCTAATAAAATAATTAATATCAGACCACACCCACGCCCATATAAGGCTTACCTGATAAATATTCCCTGGCCTCTTCGTATTTATTTTTTAATAAATAGTCAATGTCCTTAATACAGTGAGCTATATCAGTGCTGGTCAGTTCAAATGAAGAGGAATCTTCACACACCCTCTCCTAATTTAAATATTTAAATTTAAATATTCAAATATTTCAATATTTAAATTCAAATTTAAAAAATTTAAATTTAAAAATATTTATTTAAAATATTAAATTACTTACTATGTTATGAGCTTCATCTAATATGACAACAGTATTGGTTATATTGATACCATGTACCAGCCTAGTCTATACATAAATTGCTAATACTATTATTAATTAATATCATTACTATTGATTACCCTGAGATCCAGTATGTAATTGTATGGCATAAAGATTAGATCAGCTTCTGTTTTCATTTCCCTTGCTAGATAATACGGACACATTCTAAGGAAAAGAGAGGGAAAGAAAGAGGAAAGAAGTCAAAAAAATAATCGAGGAAAGATTAGGTTACTTATTTTTGGTTCCCATTCCCACGAGTTCCTCGATATCAGGTATAAAACTCTCTGGAACGCTAAGCCTTTTAAGATCAACGTTATTGTAATACGTACATGATTTTGCTGCAACTTTAGCATGGCAGGCGTGAACCTTTTCGGCATTGCTTTCCTTCGACATGACTTCAGAATTGATACACAGTTGGTCACGTGATCCTATTATTGATACCTTGGGTCTAGAGTAAGAAAAAATTATTTTAAATAGTAATACTATTAATGAAATACATGTAATTACATGTACATGTACCTGTATGAGGTTGACTTTAGCTCATGGATTGCCTGTGATAGCTGAGAATGGGTCCGAGATGCATAAATGATTTTTGGCCGCCCACCCAAGGGGCCCTTTGAATCTATAAAATTTTAATAAATTTTTTTCGAGTTTTAGTTTCAAAACCTGATTGGAGATCCCATTCAGAAATTACAGGGGCAGGTAATTGCTGTCTCCAAGACAATGTGGCACATAAAAGGGAGAGGGTTTTACCTGTTCCTGTAGGAGATTCCAATATGGCGTTTGTATTCTAGAGAAGGAGAAAGAGAGAGGAGAAAAAATAGAGTAAATCAAAAAATGAAGGAGAATTTTGAGTTAAAACTAACATTTTGCAATGCTTTTATAACTTTCTCCATATACTCTATCTGACAGGGGTAGGGAGTAAAAGGAAAAGAGACTGGGACGTTTTCTATGACATGAATTTGTTCTGCCATTGTAGCCGCCATGACAGTTCATTTCCCGCCAACTTCCCCGCCAAATTAACACGTGACTATAGCTATAAATATTTTAATTAAACTATAATTAATAGATATTAATTAATTAAAGCCAGTGAAGCTGATAGTGATAATCACAATAAGAAATAAATAAACTCTAGTAATGGTGAATGTGCTGCCTTAATACAATGATGCTAATGATAGCAATAGTAATAATAAAGGAATTAATCCATTTTGTAGTTTAGTCTGAGATCCTGAACTTGCAACTGAATCAGAACACTCCCTTATATAAGTATCATTACTCATACAATAATCTCGCCCACACTCATTAATCTTCGATACTGATTCAGTATACAATGATTCGTCACTGATCTGGTATACATCAATTGCAAAAGCTCCGAAATAATTTCCAACTCCGTTTTCACAAAGAGTCGACTGTCCTGCAGTTTTATAATAATCTACATCATTAAAACCAGCACTGTAGCAGAGACCTAATGCTACAGCAAAGTGTCTGTATCCTCTATCACGAGCTGCTTGAGAGCATTTAGTGACAGGGTCTGTCCTGTTGTATGGTAAGTCCATTAGAAGCTGATGAGATCTTTCAAGAAATAAAAGCGAGCCGGAAGGCAAGTTGTAACAACCTCTGTGAGATATGCCTGCATGGAGATAAATATATAAATATAAAAGTTGCACTTAACTGATACAATATAAAACTTACCTTTCAAACACGGCTCATTATGACAATTTTGTTCATTGCATGGCCTCCATACCATGCTACGATTACTTACTATCATGAACTGTACCCCTCCACCACAGCTTTTAGTGCACTCACTCCACCTCTCCACTGTCATCACACTGCAGTTTACACCAATATTGCACAGTTGGTTCTCAGATGATGGTCCCATTGAGGAACAGTCTCTGTGAGTTCCATTAACACATCTCCTGGTCCTGTACTGAAAGCCTCCTTGACAAGTCGTGCTACACACACTCCATGAGCCCCAAGAGCTCCAAACTGCTTCTAAAAATAACAAATAAGCAATTAAAAGATTACATTAAAAAAATAAAATCATTGCCTACTTCCTGGGCATGTTGATAGTTTGCAGTCCTCATACTCTGAGT